TAGTGATGGTTGCTGTCACAAAATTAGATCAGAAAAATTATGTACAGTTTCTACCACAATGGATTACAACATTTCATTGGTACAGGTTGCAATGTTTCATGGCATACAGTGCAGAATGCCTCATGGTGATGCTGAATGCATTTCATGACCTATTTTTGGCAGCTTCTGGGACATCCTTTCTGTAGCTGAATTTGTGTGCTCTCCTTTCCTCTTCACTTAGAAGCAAGGCACACATTGCAAAATGTTCAAGTCCCATCTCATACATCTATAAACCATCTGTGTTCAATTGTGTTCCTTTGTCCCTCTGATGATGCAAAAGTCAAATGGATATGTTTAAATAATACTAGTAACTTTTATATATTTACACTTGTTGCAACTTAACAGCTAAAGATTCTTTACATCTGCTATAGATGTTAAATGCTTTTTATGTGGACGGATATAGTTAATTAATTGTTCTATGGACAGACAGATTTAGAGAAATAATCACAATTCCATATACTATCTCTTGCGTTCTGGATTTTACATTTAGATCTCTGAAGTGTATCAATGATGAGCAAAATCACAAGCAGAAATAAATTTTCCTGTTTACTATGCATCTGAGGAGGCTTCTAGCATATGTTGATTACTGAAGGTACCTGATATGGAATATTCTGCCCTTATGAAAAGAAGCAAAAGTAAACCCATCCTGCTTCAATCATCTGTAGTGCGAATACACTGAAATTCCACCTCTCCTTTGGAAGCCACATCATGTTTTTACAATTTAGTTGTGCACTGAGATGCTGGAACTGTAGAAGTGTTTTTCTGCATTTACTGGAGCTCAAGACTGGTCTGTTGTGAGAAGCCCCTCAAATGCATAGGTTCTTTCACTTTCTGGGGCTAAATGTGCTGATCTTAGTCCAGAACCAACTCTTTAAGCATCATGTTGAATGTGTATTCTCCTCCTCCTCGCATTGTTTATATCATTATGTGTTACACTGTATGTGTATCTTCCCTGGTTTCTCCCAGTCACACTTTTGCTTTGTTCTGTAGTCTGATAAAGCCCTTACAAAGTTTTCACAGTGTTTCTTATGTTTATTCTCCTTTGTGTAACCTGTATTTTAATGATCCCTTTCCCTCTTTTCCCTGCTGCTGTTACAAATTTTGTTTTCCTGTCTACTTTGTGGGCAGAATGTTCCATACCACCATTTTTATTCCACTGTATTTTCTTCTTTTAGTCAAGTAGTTTTCTGTTCTTCTCTATAGAATTACACTTTATGACTACCAGGCCATGTGTAGAACAAACAAAGAGAGTAGCGACAGTGCCCATAGCTTACTGGACGTAAGTATAGCAAATTTTCTGAGCACCTTTCCATGCAATCATCAAAGAAAATTGTTGCAAATATCTTGTACCCATTATAAGCCCATTTTATTGATTTGGAATGCTTACAGCTCTTGCGTTTATCCTAGTGCATACAAGGAATGGTTCGTTATAATCAAATGCAAAGTGTTAAGCATTTTCAAGTTCGAATACTTACACAATCATTTTTAATGCTGGCCACCATTTCTGAGGTTGTCAGAATGTTCTTTGCACCATATGAATCCTCCTTCTAAGGACTTTGTAAATTTGGCTATAGATTGTGCTTTGTTTGAGGGACTGGAATCACATACACCTTTTCCCTATGGAAACACATACACCCATGCAGAAATGTAATTCAAATTAGAAATCATGATTTCTTTTTTTTTAGTATATGAAAAGATTGGTTCATTGGCAAGGCATGCAAGTCAGTGATTTTTAACACTTTTTTTTTCCTTATTATTTAAAGAAGATGCCTTTTAAAGTAGAATTTCAATGTGTTTAAACCCTTGTCCTGCAATCAGATCTGAATAAAACCCCTGCCCCTCTGCAAGGCCTGATTAGAGTCAAGCTGGGTCTTGCAAGGGCAACTTCCTTTGCTAAATCATATATCTAGGTAATAACGCCAAGGATATTTTCTAATTGTGTATATGTTTTACTCATTACTATAATAATCTGTCATAACTGATAAGGTGTTACATAAAGTACAGTTTTTGCGTATTAAGAGGGACTGTTTTAACAAATATATAAGAGCGTGAATATTCCTTATGTAAAGACAGCAGCAAAACACTAGTAATTTCACAAGTCTGGAAAAGTTATGAGACAGTATTTTTAAATGCACAAGGATCCAGCTAGAAGAAATAAGTCTACACATAGCTAAACTGTTAAGTAAATATCAAAGTTCTGGCAAATTCCAATGTGTATATACAGCTTCCATGCTTTAATAATCATATGCATTTTGGGATGTTTTCATTTACATATTTACATGAATCTCTGTTTTTAAATACCTGCAAATTTGGATTTTCTGTACTTATCAGTCTGTTATCCACTAAAGCCTGAACCTGAAAAAGACTGTCTTGACATAACAGCAAGTACCAGGGTGTGCAATGAAACTTAAATTATCAGTGGACTAGAACAGGATTCTGTGAATCACATTTGCATGAAAAATTTTAAAGTATGTTACAACTCTTAGCAACAACCTTCCATCCCAAGGCTTGGGGCTTCAGCTCAGTTTGAATAAGCACCGAGCATGTAGCACTGAAGTATTTCTCTCTTATGAGTGGGCTTTAATCCAAGAGATTTTCATTATTTAAATTTAAGTCCAGAATGTGTTTATGGAGAAAAACTCTGCAACTGTTGTGGGATACACTGAGACATGACGAGCACCTTCTTTATTTTTTTAAAGATAGCCAAACTCTTCTTTAAACCTCAAGTGAGTTTTTGTGATGTTCAACATGAAAGCTGGGCAAAGCTTTTATTATTTTCCTGTTGATTCAGCCACTTCTTATAACCATGACTTCAGAGAAAGTATAAAGAGAACTTGCATTAAAAACAGGTAGGGCTAGATTCCTCAAAAGTATTTTTTCCTGGTTTTAGGCCCAGTTTTGTACACATAGATCAGCTTATTAGGCAGTATTCAGTACAGTTTCTACATAAGCAAAATGTTTGTTCACAAATGTTTATCATTCCTTTTGAGAATTATCGTTGTACAAATACAGGAATAGATAGAAGGGCAAGACTGGGACTCTTTAAAAAGTTCTTATTTTAAACAGCATAGAAGTGGAGCACAGGCATCAAAGACTGTATGAAAACTAAAGCATCTATCACAACATTCTGCTAAAATCATGGAAAACAGGTGTCAGGGCTGGACTCCTCTTTCTGTCATAGCTTTTTAGGCTGTGGAATAGATTTATATATCATCTGGTCCATTTCTTTGCCAGAATGGAATTGTTTCTTAAAAGATATCCAGATACATTGTAATTTAACATATTTTGTGTTTTAATTTATTCAAGTCCTAGACAACTCTCCATAGAATCACTGTGTTGCAAATATATCGGTGCCATAGAGTCACCCAGCTCAATTCCTTTGGCTCTCAATCATGGTTTAGATACATAGAGAGAATAAAACTCCTGCAGTTGTTGCCTCAGTTTTTGAAGGAACAGTCTTTGAGTGAAAAAGACTGTCTCAGTAAAATCAAATTTTGTGAGAATGCATTTATATCAATGTAAGGAAACGTTTTTCAACTAAAATTTCAAACCAAATTATTTTTCTAATATTCTATTCATATTATTGATTTTTTCCAGATATATTAAGGTTTTAAATTTTCTTTTAGTTCTCATATTAAAATACTTTTATAATACATAATGTATTTTACATTAAGTACGTATTGTTCATAAGTAATAATAAATATATTATTTTACACTAAATCATTTGACATTTGAAAACAAATGTATGCAACACAGTTAATTACTTGGATGCCTGAGTTCAGATTTTCTGATTTGGAGTGAAAATAAACAAGGTGTCCCACAGGGCTGAAATTTTGTTCTCTTTTCATCTCTGGGAAAGACTTGTAGCTTTTTATATTTTCCTGTAAGACAGCCCTTAATAAGTGGAAATCTCTACTGTCTCAGGCATTATGCATTCTGCTGGCTTGCAGTTGCAGCCTTTCATGCTCTGACTGACACTAGTTCATTGGCTTTGTGAGTTATCAACCCTGTGCAGAAATACTCTTTGTGGCCTCTGAAAACTTTAAATGGCCAGTTACTGCTGTGCAAAATGGCAGTGCTGAGTCAGCATGGCTAAGCATGATTTTAAATATTTGAGTAGTTCTCTTAAAGTCAATATGACTTCTTATATGTGCTAAAATATTCTGTTGATATGGAATCTAAAAAGTCTGCAAAATTTTTTGCAATTGGGAGAACCTAACACAAATGAGTGGGACAAGGATAGATTCCTTTCCAAATTTCTGGAAACTGAATTTTCTGCCTGAGATTCTTTCATAAAATAATAATCCTATTGATATTCTTTTAAAAAATAACATTCAAAATGTAGTAGAAGCACTGTAAACACAGGATTTTCAAGGTATTTGCTGTATGTTACGATCCAGAAAAACAGAGGGAGGAGGGAAGAATCTTAAAAACTATTAAAAGTACTTACAACTGGGCCTTCAGTATGACATAGATAACTTCATTTAGGTAAATTCAAACTTCAGAAGCTTTTCCTAGCCTAATTAAGCTGAGCTAATGGATAGAGATTCACATTATAGAGAGGCAAGCCTGTGAATTGCAGTCTAAGAAAAGCTCATAATATCTACAAGAGCTGTTCCTCCAGCAATAGCCTGGGAAATAGGAACCCCTAGAGGTTAAAGATTTAAGAATCATTTGCAAAACTTTCCTTTTCCAACTGACAATCTGTGTATATGACCAACCACATTAAAAGAAAATTTCATTACAATATATTTTAATATTCACTATAATAATATTTGCTACTTCATAAGGAAATGTTATTCTTCTTTTTCTCATGTTACCCATGCATTTCAATATCCATAAAATTGTCTTTACATTAAGAATTCAATTAAGATATAAATACTGCATGTTTTGCCTTTTTATTAAATGAATTGCTTCTCTTCAGCCTTATAATGCCTTCTTTGCTGCAGTAAAATGGATTATGACTGAGCTTGTCTTGTAAGTAAATTTTATCAAGAACTTGATGAATATTTGTATGAATTACTGAGTGTTTTTACTTTCAAATACTTAATGAGTATTAGCACTTTTTGCCTTTTGTATACATTGTGCTGCTTTTCTTATATAATTTTAAATATAGTAATATTTGTCAATTTTTTTCCTTTCTGATTTTGCATTGTTAAAATCTGAGAAAATTTTGAATATATGCATGCACAATTGCAACTTTATTACGTTATTCATGGTGTTCACTTATGTTTGTATGTCTTTGCTCAGTAAGTCTAGCAGATCACAATCTGATTGATCTTAAATGCAGCTTTCAAAGTAAATATCAGGGAAAGAAATTGTGTTAAAATGAGACTTTAATGCTAACATGTAACAGCTTCAAAAATTTCAAGAAGCTTTCTGTGTTTATAAGTGCTGTAGTTCCATGTCCATATGATAAACTGGATGTTGGTTTCGCATTCTTTACACTTACAATAACTGATAGACTGACACATTTCAGTCCATTCTTCAAAGTAAATTGCAGTATATTTTGGTAGGAAAATGCATTCTCTACACACCTAATTGGATTTGATTATACACTGATTAATCAATCTTTTGGTCCTAGGAATAAAATAGTATTAGTATTTTAGTTCCAGAATTAATATCAGAAAGTATTTTATGTGTACTCCTGTACTGTAGCCAGGATGATTATATTCCTATGGCATTTTACTAGAGAGTCAAAATACCTGCATAATGAAGAAATAATATTCAATACTTTTCAACAGTAAAAATACTGCCATGCATTGAGAATTTTAATGGATGATTCAAATAAGATCAATAATTTAAATTAATAATAAGTAAATCTATGATGTATTGATGGGGTTAATTTCAAAATAAATTCTTGATAGTAAAATATAACCAGTGAAAATATAAGAATAGCAGTAGTTGGTAATCTGGTAACATGAATTTCAGTTCTGTGTTAGCTTTTATCTAAAATCGAGTAATAGTATTGAACTATTGCCAAACTAGTGTTTTGAAAACATTCTGTGGAATAATATGAAAACTCTAATAATTTCTCTAGGTTCCTTGTGGAATTTAATCTATGCAGTTGGTGGCACTCTGATCTAACAGCAAAAGGTAAGTGTAATTTTTTTCCTGGCCGTAATGACAGAAATGTCTAGATTAAATTGGATTTTTAAAAATCAGACATGCATGAAATGTTTTAGATTCATAATAGTTGTTTGATAACAGTAGTTTGCCTCCCATGTCAGCATCCTCTTCTTTGTTAATTTTTCCCGAAATCCAGGAGAATTAACATCTTCTATGAATAACCACAAAGCAATTATGTATACTTTAGGAAAACAGTACGCTACTATAATGGAAAAGTTAAAATAGTAGATAATGATTAAATATGTTTTTAAAAAACATTTCCTTTCTTTCCTGAACAGTCTTTATGAAAAAAAAACAACAAACCACTAGACTTTTTATGCTTATACCACATTTTTTTCTAGAGCTGTAATATGTAGGGGTGTTATTGTGCTGAAAAATGCCATTTCAACAAAAGTCCACAGGAACATGGTCATCTCATTATAATTTCATATGAAAATATTTTTAAAGACTTAAGATAGTAAATTTTATGCTTTTGGTTTTAAACAATACTGGTCAAAACTGTATTTTGTTTTATCATTACATTCCATATAGATATTTTAAAGTAATAAAAACTAGATGAATTAAAATTCAATTTACTCAATAATTTGTAAGAATGTGGAGGTTTCATTTGAAATACTGAAATTTTTAACAGTTCCCAGAAGAACTGGAAATTTTATATGTCAACTGTCGCTTATACTTTAGCAGACTTAATAGCATTTCAGAAGTGTTTCTCAAAAGCAAAGGGCTAATTTGCAAGATCAGTGCTCTTCGATTGTCTATTTCTTAGGCAAATTATATTGCATGCCATTTACTTCTATAATGATTTAAATGGAATTCTTCAGCCTCATATTTGTGGATATGCATATTCCTTAGCAAAGCAGGGGATATAATTGCTACTTTAGGCTTCGGTTTATGTTTGCATTGCCTGGATACTAGGCTGTCTTTGTGCCAAAATAATATCCTGTCTGAAGTTAAGGTATCGGGAAAATGGAACATAATGATGCCCTGGAATACTCCGGTATCCCCTGTAGTAATAAGATACTGGAGGTCTTCTAGCAGAAAGACCTATCCTGGAGTAAGCAGAAAGTATGGCAGTAAATGGCAAAGTGCACATCAGGCTACTGCCTAACATGTTGTAAATGCTGTGTAGGGAGAAGAGGAGGTGGAGATGGGTGTCTGCTGGAGGTGAAGATTTGATAAGAGTCTTCTGGAAATTTAGGTGCACAAACTTAGTATAGCCTTTCTCATGATGATGTAAACTGTGCTCTGCATTGCAACACCAAAGCCAATTCTGTTACTTGAACAATAAGCCCCACATAGATTGGATGTACGTATACAAATAAAGCTTCATGAGAACCAGCCAGACACTATTTGCTTTTGGGGATGCTTTGTAATCGGCAGTGCCTAGACAGGTCTTCTAAAAATCAAGACTAACTTCCCAGGAATTTCCCTAACCATGATGAAGAACGTCTCCTACACTGATGGCTGTGAAGGACAGTAGGGTTTGCTGAGCTAGACCCAGAAAATGCAAAACTGTTCCCTATATCTGAAGAGGAATGGCAGTTATGCCAGTCTCAGTCCTTGGTGTTTGCAGGACAGCACAAAGCAGACAATGCAGGAAACAGGTAACTCTATTAGGTGTTTTTTCAAGTGTACTGTACAAATATGTCTTAATATATCCTGACATGAAACATCCAATGGACTTGCACTGTGTGTTAGGGAAAATATCCCTTAAAGACAGCATCCCTCTCATCTCATGAAAATGAATGTCTGTTTTGTATTTGAAGCATGTACTAACTACAGAAGACAGGCATTAGGAATTTGCAAACTTTCTTTTCTTGAAGACAAATCAATCGTTATAGCACTGTGACAGATAAACGTGATTGAGGGATTTTCATTCAAGTGTTAGCTGAAAGTGGAGTTTTAACTCTATAATTCACTTACTCCATTTCTTTGATGAGTAAAAGTATTGAAAATACATCTCATCATACTGATTGTAATGTCATCATTTTTATGGCACTGCTTGAGCAGTTCAAATTTGGTTAGGTAGCAAGTGATAGTTGTTTGGAAACCAACATGTGTTAGTTGCAAAAGCAAGAGAGAAGTCAACAGGAAAGAAAAGCATGTGCTTAGGTATGTTCTGTAAAAGCTACGTTATCACTGAGAGTTGTAATAATTATGGCTGCACTTCATGAAATTAAAACTAATGAACCTGCTCATTTTTACTTAGCAATACTTAACAAAGCTCAGAAAAAAAAAAACCCACTTCCTTTAACGGGGAAACTTCTTCCTGCTCAAATTGTGACATTAAGAAAGTGTCACCTATTACGAAGATCCTAGAGGGTTCTCACACATCTGCCAATTTACCAAACCCTAGTATGAAAAATACTCCTTCACAAGATTTGTAAGCTCAATCACATTTGTAAATGAGAGAGAAGAAACTGATGCCCTAAGCCTTGGGCAACCCCATCATCTTCCGGACTCTAACGAAGTGCTGGAAATCTGAGATCCGTGGATCTTCGGCAGTCTCTTTCTTACTTAAGCTATATGTTAATACAAGGGTAGACTCATAATATGGGTGATAAATTTCAGTCATTCTAGGCAACAGATAAGGAGAACAGAAGAGAAAGGGGAAAGGTGCAGTAGAGTTAGTCAGACATTTTTTATAAAATGCTAAATTGTTAAATATGTAACAACCATAGCAAAAACATGAGATATAACAAAATTTTTCTGACCACCTTTAGTACTTCCCATGAGATCTGTGCATTGGGGGGGAATATTTTTGTTAATTATATACAAAAACTATGAACAGTTCAGAAATGCGTGTCCTAGTGTGTGATTTTAAATGTAGTTTTGGTCATTTCCTTAGCCCTGTGCAGTAGATACACCACTGGCTCTGAAAGAGATTATCTTGAATGGAAGATCTGTCGAGTCCAAGTGCCTGTTTAGTGTAATCTATTTTTGTCATACCTTGTCTTGTTTTCTCACTTAGCCGTTAGTTTAAGATAGGCTTAACATTTGTGCTGATTTGCAAGTGTGTCTCTGTGTTAAGGAAGAATGAAGGGGTGGGGAGGAAAAAGAAAGGGAATGAGGGAGAGACATTGTCCAACAGATACATCTGTGTGAAAGTCAGAAGAGCTGCCTTCAGATCCCAGCTTTGCTGCTGTCCTGTAGTTTGACCTTGAACCAGTCTTACTGCTTCCTGGTGCCTTCAATTTCCCAATCTTTAAGATGTAAATAGTGACTTTTTCTTTTCTCTTGCACTGAAAGGCTTCAGATTAAAAGTGCTATGGAGTCTTAATTATTACTATTTTGGGAAGCAGATAACAAGAATTGGTTCTGGGCAAACTAACGCTTCTGTCCCCCGCCCACAAAGTTGTTCTAACTGATGAAACTCTGCAAAGATTCGCAGATTGTAATCCAAAAAATTGTTTTGGCTTCAGTAAAAGGTACCACAATTTAGATCTCAAATAAACGTAACCCCCCCCCCCATAACAGTTAGTGATGCACAGAAATAAAAATGACAGTAAGTCCATCTTGAATCTACAGAGAAAGAATAAAAGCTTGTGCATAAATGTAAAGTAGGTTACCAATAGCTAAACCAGGAAAAAATACTTTAACAGTTATGTCTTACAAAATTGCATTCCATGGATAAACTTTTTTTTTTTTTTAATTGAAAAAATAGTGTTATGCACTGCCTAGGAAATCTCACAGGGTGGCAGAAGCTGAGTAATATTTCCATTCTCTGTGAGCTCTGTAATACAGCATTTCATGTTCAGAATTTTGTGTGCTGTTCTTCCCATGTTAACATCAAGATTTTTTTCCTGTGCCTATAGCGCAGAGGTTGAAACAAACCCTAGAGCCCTGTGATACTGAATATCCAGCTTTTGTTTCCGAACGCACTATAAAGGAGACCACGGGGAATATTGCTTGCGATGACTGTTTCAAGTAAGCCCTTTCAATTTTTTTTTTGTACAACTGTTTGTGACAAAGCAATAAAACTGAATTATTCAAGGTTATGTTGAAGAACGTATAAGTCTGTTATGTTTTATCTTATATAATGACCTCTGTCAGGGTGTCATTTCTCTTATTACAGGGGTGATTTAAAAGTTTTATACACTTAAATTAAAGCAGTGATTATTATTTTCTACCAAAAAAGAAGTAAAAATAGTAATTTCAAAGAATAGCGAATGTTTTAAGATGTTTCCTGGACACAGGCAGCATTCTAAGAGCATATTCTGTAAAGATTTAGATACAAAAAGGTTAATGCTGTTAGCCCTCCATACAGGAGTGAAATCCTGCTGGAGGGGTTAGAAGTTCCTTTGTGGTACAGTGAGATCTGGTTGTTTTACTTGAATGCCAAACAGTGTCTCCTTCTTAGAATTGTTCGGCTGAAGGAGTGGGAGAGGATTAAATCTATTCTCCAAACTTGCAGTGCTGGGAAGCTGAGTTAACAGTAACAAATCTCACATGTCAGTGCTGCAACCTTGTCAGTTCTATCAATGCTACTGTAAAGTTGTTCCTCATAGGGTTAAAAGCAGAGAAAGACTTCAGTCAAGCTTTCCTCCTTTATACTGAAATTGTCTTTTCTCTGCATTTAGTGCCTATATGCAGTGACATTTTGACTGTAGTTACAGTACATTTTAATTGAAGAATTGCATACATATTGTTTATGTAAATTTCTATGCTTCAGTAAGTCTCTTAATTGGATTTCCTTTATGCTGAGAGGTCATCATCGCAAAGGACATAAGTATTTATGACAATAATTTGTCTATCAATACAAATGTCAGGAAGAATTCATAAGTTAACCAAAAATTATTACAACTCTCCCTTTCCAGACTAAATCAAAATGCAATTAGCAAATAAAGGTGAAAACTTCTCTTTGAAGTCAATAGGTGTACTTCTGGACTTTTTTTCTGGCTAATTTTTCTCCTCGATATCTTCATTGTTTGAAAAGAGGAAATAGAAGTAAGTATGCTGGAGATATATTTTAAATGCTAATATTCACTTTTAATTTGCTACTAACTAGCTTTCAGTTATAAGGAAATTATTAATGTCTAGTATGAATAATTGAGTTTTATATGGCTTTGTGGGAAAGAATTGTGAAAGTGGTTTGTAAATTGAGCCTAGGGAACCCTTTAAGTCTAACAGTAGTTCCCACTGCCTGCAAAGTACAAACTCAACAAAATCAAGCCATGATTTTTCCACTTGACGTATCAAATACAATGTGTGTTACAGTGCTATGAGTGCTTCATGTCAGCTTTGTAGAATTCAAGCAGCCTTATTTTGTGATCATTTAGCAGAAGATCACTGAAAAGTTATGCAACAAATTATCATACATCCCAGGAAGTCTTCAAGGCCAGGTTGGACGGGGCTTTGAGCAACCTGGTGTAGTAGAAGGTGTCCCTGCTATGTCAGGGGGGTTAGAACAAGATGATTTGTAAGGTCTCTTCCAACCCAAACCACTCATGATTCCATGAAAAGAAGATTAATTTAACAGAACCAGGTTTTCTCAAAGGAATGCAGATTTCAGTCTGCCTTCTTAGGTAACTTCAGGTCAAAGGAAATAACTTTCAAAAATAACACAATTCTGCAATACTTGGACAGCACTGAGTTGGAAACTGAGTTTAGTGAAAATTATAGTATTTCAAAAATAATGCACTAAGATCTTTTTCACAGAAAAACATTTTCTGTTCCACAGTGGAACAAAAAAAAAAAATAAAAGAAAACCCTGTAAGTTACAAACTGATCTCAAGGCACCCATTACTTTTCTCCACAAGCAATGGCAAAACCTAAAGAAATAATCCAGAGGAACTATTAGATTCTCATGGGAAAGTTCTTCGTTATACCGTTTACCCACTGTCATTAACAATCTACAAATTGCATCTAAGATTGCAGACTGCATCGGATTCCAAATATTTTTGTTATAACCCAGGACACTTTCCCGCAGAACAGCTAAGGAATTTGACCCAAAGTCCTTTGTAGACCTACATCTTCTGACCCAGTTTTCTGTTTCATGGCCTCAGCACCAATAAATACTGTTACAAGCAAGTGTATTGCTTAATACTTGTAATTTAAGAATGATGGGCTTAATCAGTCAAAATTAGGGTTCAACCTTATATAGACAGAGATTTGAACTGACACCGTGTTCAATGGTTAAGCTACATGGCATTTGTTGCATACTAGACTCTCAATTCAGATCCCTTCGAGTCAGTGGAATTATTTTCTATGTCCTCCCTGGATTGTGTTATAGACTAATCTGTTTGTGATATATAGCTGCAAATCTTGATTACAAGCAGAAAGATACTTGTAAATATTTAGCTGAATATGCACCCACTCTAATATTGCAAACCTATTTGAAAGACACTGGAAAAGTCAGTATATTGTGAGCAGGTTTGCAAACAGATGTTGTGCAAATACTCTGCTGCAAGAACGTTTGTGTCATAAATTACTCATTCAAGTCACTGTCTTTTGTTCCTACAATGTCAGGCATTACTACAGAGCCCTTGTCTGAGAAAGCAGACAAAAAGCAGTCTCTTAGTAGAAGTAAAAATGATGACTGATGCTAATTGAAACCATATAACGTTACTTAGATAAGACATTTTGGAGCACAAATGTTGTGTTATTGCTAACAAAGTCACAGTCTTAGTCAACAAGGTTACATCGTGAGAGTCAGAGACTCACTCTTATTCTGTCCTGGGTGTCCTGTTACTGATCCTGAAATACTGATCCTGAAATACTCCATGCTTCACAGTTACCAAGGGAAACTGTTACCAATTGTAGTTATGAAAACTAAGCCTTGTTCTCATAAACATTTCCAATCATAATTTTTAAACATTGGATTTAAATTGAAGTGTCTGCACAAGTAATTTACACAGTGAAAGAACTACATGCTAATTACTTCATAAATAGCTGGCTCACCTTTTCAGCCACCTCTGAAAACTTATTCAACCAATGGAAGTGCACTTATACACTTAAGCGGGCTTTGAGTCAGGCACTAAATGTACACAGACGTGAAATAGACTCTCTATATGTAAATTTATCACTTACTAGCAAAAAATAAATGCTACTTCGGATTAATTTGCAAAGTTTAAAACAATTTTCAAAAATATAGGTTTTATTAAGAAAGCAGGAGCCTAAAAGAAAATAAGAATTTACATAGTAAAGTCATTAGGGTCGGAGTTTGGCTGTCCCACCCCATAATTTGTTGTTATTCAATATGCCAATGATTATTCAATTAATCTGTTATTTAAACAGCAATCAAAAACAAGTCAACCCACATTTTCTAAGCACAGTCAACAAGAGAGAAAAACTGGGACTTTTTGAAAATCTTAAATGCTTTAATATTTTCCAGTAAGCTATTCCCTTTTATAGCAAAAAAAAAAAAACCTAAAAAAAAAGCATTACTTCTTAAAAACCAGATAACAGGCTGTTGAATGTTCTATGGCAGCTCCAGTGTTGGAAATACTTAATTGCTAAAGA